GCTAAAAAACAGAGACGGTAGGTTCCTACAGCATATTATATGTTTCTGAGATGGAGACATGAAACACTTATTAACCTGAAGGTAAGAGAGCAAGGAAGATGCGTAGGCGAGAGTTATAACCCAGCTTCTCCAATGCGCTTAGATTAACCATCGCGAGAACCCGAACACGCGCAGATACATACATAATGTCTCCTCATCTTGACACAGTTTCTATCTAGCTTGTCCATGTAACTGACCAAGTACATAGGCAGTTCAATTTCGAGAAAATTTCTAAGAGCCTGTTCGGACACATGCATCACAGTTTCACTTCGAAAGAGGTTAAGAATAGAATTGGAAAAAAGAAGATTTTTTTCATGAATTTCGCATCCGTGACAGGTAAACTGAAACATCAAGTGTAAATTAACATCAAACATGCATGGCACTAAGTCTTCTGGCTACAGAAGCACGCTTTGAGATAAATCAAGGTTGTTACGAGATTCTGTACTTCCTTTCTGTGAGGTTGAAAAAAGAAAAGAAGTCAACAAAGGAATTGAAAGAAACGTCAGAATACTACTCTAAGAGGTGAATTGGTTTATTTATTTAAACGAAACTTTCGATACCGTTGATCATAACACACTACTTAGGGGCGTATCCAGCTCTTTGACTTGTTGGAATTGTCAGTGATCTGAAGGCTGTTCTTGGTGCTTTTTCTTAAAACATCTCGAGAGTACGTATGTCGTAAAGAGAGTCAACTTTTCGTTGTAACTTTTGTATGGCTCATAATATCAAAGTCAGGCGGGGTAGAAACTGAAAGTTCGGACCTACGGGGTCAGAGGCTGGCTACGCCCCTGTACTTGATAATCTTTAGCCGATCTCATCTCGTTTACAAGGAGCAGTGTAGAGCAAAAACAAATCAGGTTGGCTCATTCATTTCCGAGAAAACTGCCACCTGCTCATATAAGATTTATCACAATGAGCTGTGCCGGGAACACTGCTCTTTCCTTTATACATTATGATATTCATGATTACTGTGGTTCCATCGATCTGACATACTCTCCTTTTGTCTTTTCGTCGATGGCATCAATATATTTAACAGCAAAAGAAGACTTCTTTAAGAATCGCCTCAAACTGAGGAATGAGATCCTATCCTTTGAAAGAAATCTCAGCACTATGCTGGATGAAATTTAAAACGAAGAAAATTCCCATATCAACATATCACAAATCGTAAAAGTGTTTTAAAAGAAAGTAATAAACAACACTATGTCCGAAGGAGCTAGTAATAATGATCCGTAATTGGTACTTAAGTAGCGATCCTCATGTACTTACGATTACATGTACATATACATGTATCCATGTATTGTCACCATCATTTCCTAGGGACTTCATAAACTTTGACTGGCCCGCCTAGATTTGCTCGCCTATTTGTGGGCCAGTCTAATGTAACAATGTGCAATATGTAATGGGTAACACAAATAATTATAAGGTTTGATTGTTGTAAATGATTCCTTTCCCAGCTTCCACAATTACACCAATATGTGGGTTGCAGAAGAACAGCGCTTAAATACTGAGTTAGTATCCAGAGTTGTTTATATTACTGTTTTATTAGGTTAGTTTGATTGTTTATTCATGTAATCTTTTTTCGGAAGAACAACGTATTTGGCGTTGCCCCAAATCAATAAGTAATTTTAAACAATTTTTTTCCATGTCAGCTTTAGCAAGGTCAGTTATTATTGTTATTTTCTAGGGTTGTTACGAGTCTGTCCTAAATTCACGCATATTCTCGATGTGTTGGACATTTTTATTTCACTTTTTGGCCATTGTATTCAAGGACTTGCTTGATTTCAAAATGTACCCATGTTTTAGATTCAAATTACGGTTGTCGAAAAAAGATGAGGAGTTACAGGTTCTCCGGGAACACTTAAGAGACATGACAGCAAGGTACTTGACCTAAAATGTTATTGTTTTTAGCAAATAGAAGTGTGAATATACCGCAGCCTGTCAATTTTTGTTATCATGATTATTATTTTTAATTTTAGGTAATTTTTGACTTTGTGGTGACTTTATCCTCTCGAAGGAGTATCCGTAAGGCCGAGCATATCAATCCTGCAAGCGAGTTGCTATTTAAGAAATAGCACAAAAGGCAAACCTGAAAAGACTTAGGTATTAGCTGGGCGCTACTGCATTAATAAATAGTATTAGCAACAGTTTGCTCGTCATCATCCGCATGTCAAAATAATTGATGATTTATAAATATAAAGAAATCTCACTCACTTGAAGAGGCCTAACATTTGTTCAGTCTTGTTTTTCTTGAGTAAAAGAAAAATTTATTTAGTGTTTGCTATAGTCAAATCCTTGTCATTTTGTATGTAGTTCCATGCTTTTACGAGATGGGATATTTATGGTCCAAATTTTAATTGTCGTTACTGCTTATAGATTAGCTTTAAGTTTTGAAAAGCGACTGAAGCAAGATCAGCGACGAGTTCAAAATTTTGTGGAATCAAACACACCCAGTGATATAGAAAAAGACTTCCAGGAATTTTTCGATGGGGAGAGGCTTGACGCTTATGATGACATCGAGTTCGTGTTGAGCCCTTCCGGAGAAAACGACGTGAAAATTTATTATCCAAGACTGGCTTGCTTGATATTTGAGGTAATCATCATAGTAGCAAGTAATTAAAAGTTCAAAATTAACTTAACATGACATCAGAACCAGAAAAGCCAGCTCGAGGGAAAAAAAGCTGAGGAGTTCTCACCGCTCCTACTTTAATTTGTAAGTGATCTGCTTAAGTCATAACCAGCAGAAACATAAAGTAAAGCTCATGAACTTGTTTTGTCATGACCAAAGGAGCGGACGCGTCATCGCCATTTTCTTGTCAATCGGTTGAAGGTTGTCATGTCTAGTGAACGATGTTTGCGCATCCAATGCTCCTACATGTTGGATAAGGCTCTTAAGAGCTCCGAACAGTTCTGAGATTCATCCGTTACCATCCGCAGTGGAGATAACAACATTCGGCCATTTTGCAAATGCGTGCTTTTTCAATATTCACAATACATTGCGCACTCACAAAGTAAAGCCAAGACGAGACATCCATAACAGACAATTAAATTTTCTGATGGCAGGTTTTGCGATAATTTTGCCTAGTTTTGGAAACTACGCAAACATCCGATCACAACCTTAACAACAACATGTAATAAGCACTATTGGTCAGCACATGTAAATACGCGCTATATGAATTGGTAAAATTATTATAATTATGAAACATTTCTTTTGTAGATCGCTTACGAGCAGGTTAAGGAGGCAAGGGATGCTTCTTGTGATTTGTTCCAAAACATTACTGGCCAACTAATCAAGGAAGCTCCAAGAATGTGCCAGGAAATGTGCCACGCAAGAAAGGTGAGGATGTACATACCTAAAAGGTCTTCGCGATACTCGTTGAGAGGGTGTGCATGTTTGTGTACACTGTTATCATTGAATTGCATTGCGATTTGAGCAGACGTAATTCCGTTTCTTCTTCTACGTCATGGTCTTATTACTTGTTATTACTTTTATCATCTTCATAATAACTGTCTTCAAAGTAATTATCTTCATTACAATTATTATTGATTTTTACCATTTTTTTCGTTTAGTACGTCTTTTCCTTCCAGTGGATTCGTAGCTGAATAACTAAGATTGAATCTCTTGATGTGTACAAGGAATTCAAAGATCGTTGAGAAAAAATTAATAACGTAACAAATAAATGAAAAACAAAGAAGAAGTTGTCCTATACATTGAGTCTCTGTTCCCTAAGTATGGACTTAGGCCGAGTAATATTTCAATTGCTTTCATAATATGTTTTTCAATTCGAGAAGAGTGGTGCTTCTGCTCAATTACAAGAAACATTCAATCTTTTACCGGGAAGAAAAAACAAAGGAACATCAACAGATGTACTTGATGGAATGATGCTTTCCTTGAAAGAAAATTCGCACTTGAGTGACCTTAAGTGCTTCGAAGAGGTATGTGATAAATAGAGAATAAAACGTGGGCGCGCGTAGATAGGGAATTTATTTGCGAGTGTTTAACTCGATAGCGAACGAGTGGAGGTATCGCTTTGAGAACGGAAACATAAAAACAATATAAACGCAATAGGCCTTTGCTGACAAAGAAAGTCGACTTAAAAATGAACAAAAAAGTTGTAAACGAGCGGTAAGGCTCGAAAAGAAAGAAATGCCTTGAAACGTTTCAAAAATAAACACTGGACTTAACTTTCAATTCACAAAATTATCAGTCTGATTTTTTTCTTACCGAAAAAGGAAATTTTTTCAGGAACACGACCAAAATCGGCCCGTGGCAAACCTTCCAGTAGTAGATTCTTCTCCCTCGTAACTTTCCGTTGTTCTTTTCGTATTTTGGTTTTCTTCCGCTCAGTTCTAGGAAATTTGAGACGTCACTGTCTCTAGGCAAAACGAGTTTTTAAGTGTTTTCAGCAGGACTAATCCGAGAAAAGCTCGTTAAACGACCTTGGATTGAGAACGGTGAACGCTTTGCTGTTGACAGAGTGCCACTTGACAGAGTGGCGCGAAAGGCGAATCTTGAAATTGGAATATCACGATTATAAAAATTTATATTTTGTAACAGTTCTCGTGGTGTTGTTATTATAAAAGTTGAGGAAGAGAGAAATGCCTTACATGTAGATGTGGCATCATGGTGGAAGTATTGGCGGAGAGCTCTTTCTTAGATTACTGTCAATATTCACTTGATTAATATGTTCATTCGTTATTTTATTTTAGTTTTGAATGTCTTCATGATGATTACGTCACCCTATTTGTTGTTTTGTCTTCTCAAATCCCCCTTAGGATGTCAAAGAGAGTGTGAGGGAACAATGGAAAAAACTTGCGTCTAAAACGGAAAGATCATTCTTACCCACGCCTTCAGAAGATGTGTTGACACGACTTGGAGACTACATAAAGGCATGCATCAGGCTAACATGGAGAATAGTTACACAAGTTCCACCAATGCAGTTGGAGTATAAGGCTGTGCAATTTGACAACAATTTGCATAAACTGGCGAGATTCCAACAACGTGTAGAATACTTTCGTGGCGCAGATCAGCTTTCTGGGAAGGTTATTGCCTGTTACTTATGGCCTGCTCTTTTGGAAGCGGGTGGTCGAATTATTTTTCCCGCAGAGGTTATGTGTGAGCGTGATTATGTGGTGATTTCCAAACCATTGACACCCTGACCCAGATAGATAAAATCCTCCACAAAATCTTTGAGAATGAGGTCACAAGTTACGACAGAAACAATACGGATATTAAATATCAACGACATTTAAACATTGCAAAAGGATACATATAATTCAATTCATTTTGGATTATTCCAAGACTGAATGATACCTTTTACTTAGCCGGTTGAGGTTCAAAGCTGCCCCCTACTTAGAAAATATCAGCAGTAAGGATTTGAGAACATTATCTTTCTTTTTCACAAATGAATTGATCTTTCATGGTTTTTAATTTTAACGCTGTTAAAGCAAATATCTATTCAAAGATTTACCTGCAAATAAAGCCAAAAGCGGCTTCATTACTTTATCGGAATTATGCCGTAAATGTGTTTCATAGTAAAGAGAGTCAGTCATTTCGTTTCGCAGTTTGGTTTTCGTCACATAGCTGTTGTTACCCAATAGTTGTGAAATAAAAGAGGAATGCAATTAGACTTAATTTTCCGTGTAAACAGAATATTCTAATTTTATGACACTTGAACGTGGGTTGATACTGGGAATTTCCCTGCTTGTTTAGATTTCTCGGTAAACACACTCCAAGTCGATCTTCGATGCATTTTATTTTTTATTTTATTTTATTTTATTTAGCTTCGCCAACCGGCAGGGACACCGTAACAGCTTGCGCTGATTACTGCGGGCCCAATAAACCCACCCATCCCACCCCATGAGAGGACATCCATCACACAGTAACGTCTCCCTGCAGGAGACGGGACCTCCATTTGTTCGTCCCTATCCGAGAAGACTAGAATATCTAACCATTTGTTGATGTTAGGAAAGGCAGCAAATTCTTCTCAATTATTTTAAGACCCTGAGTCTTGGTCCGGCCGGAGCTCGAACCCTCGACCTCCCGCACAACAGTCCAGCGCTCTATCCCGGCATTGAGCTAACCGGGAGGCGGCATTGAATGGCGAGATATCTTTCATAGTGAAGGGAGTAGGTTACTGGTTTCGCTGTCAGTTTTGGGTCACATGGCTCTCGTTGCCCGATAGTTGCGAAATTAAAGAGGAATTTAATCAGACTTTATTTTCCGTGTAAACAGGATGTCGTAATTTCATGACCTTTGATCGTCAGTTTCGATACGTTGATCCCGGAATTTCCCTTCCTGTATGGGTTTCTCGGAAAATACACTCCAAGTCGATCGTCGATGTAATGAATGGCGAGATATCTTATCACTGAACTTCTGTACTGGAAAAGACAGGCAAAACCTTAGAGAATGGCTTTAGAAGGTAACGATGTTGATAATACTAGAATTTTCAAATGCTTAAATTCAGAAAGATGAAATCACTGACTCATTTATCCGTTTATCATTCCGCGTAAAAGCCACATGTCCACCACAATCTTTAACAATGATTATTTTCACGTTATCAGGCCTCTTACACTCAAGGGTGGTCAGAAAAAAGGTGCACTCGGTCACTTACTGAATTAACCTTCACACGAGTTAGAAATTTCGTTTAAAATATGCTTCTAAATCAAAACTGTGTCGCAAATCTAGTTCCGATAGATTAATGCAAACCGACCTTCAGTTAATGTTTTCATGGTCAACTTCGCTATTCCTTTCAATGATTTGCCTCCCTTATGAGGTGTAAAATGAGTTGAATAAGGTTCAGTGTGTTATCTTTAAGTCAAATGCTCTGAATCATTCTAGTTTGCGATGTATTTACTAAATTCCACTTGCGAGATGAAATCATACGAATTCCGAGAAAAGCAAACAGTGGTTCGCATTGAACTTAATGACAAGTGTCACGAAAGTGTACGTAACATTTTTTTCAAAGAACCTTCTTCAACCATAGATTTGTTCTGGGTATGAAAACAAAGTGAGCCTGGGCTTTCGGAAAAGAAAAACTTACAGTCTTCCTTAGGGGCAGATAAAAAGTGTATATCAAAGGTGTAAAATGTCGAAATGAATGAAAGGGCTGAAGTCAGTTGCCTCCACCGATTAGTTCTTTGTTTGTTTGGGGGCAGTATGTCTAGTTTTTGTGCCTTGCAGTTTTCTTACGTCGAAGCATAACTACATAAACCTCACTGCGAGTTGTGGGAAAGGAGAGAATCCAGAAATGAATTAGTTTTGCTACCCAAGGTTGTATGTATACAAAGCCTGGACATTATTGACACCTACAGTGGAGTCGAGTTTCACGACTTACATTAACCGATTAGACAAGTAACGCTGCAGAGATACTTCTCAACATGCGATCGGTTTCGAATAAAATTTACTAGCCTTGCATTCTTCCTAATGTGTAAATTCAGTATAACCGCATCAAAGAAACATCGTCGGTTCTCTTTTTTCGGTGGTCGTTTTTCTTGGAAGACCTTGGAAGAAAAAAAAGTCAGACGTGCAAGACGAGTTTTCTACGAAACACACTTTGGAATCGACGATGATCGGTCTCTTTGAGGATCGACGATGACTCGCTCTCTTTGAGTCAAAGCGAACGAGTTAATTGATCATCGTCGAGCTCAGAATTGTTTGAGGGGATCACGTTTTTTTTCTGTTCGGAATAAAGTCCTACAAAATTAAATCATTTGTGTATCCTGATACCTTTGGTGAATTGCAACGTCGATAAAATCTTTCCGCCCTCCAAGCCGGGAGCCTGTTCGCAGGCTAACTAGTTCTCACGAGATAACAAAGCAGCCATATGTGAATTCAAACTACGAAACTACCGACAAAACTGTGACGGCCGATTTAACAACAAACTACGATGTTGAGACGAACACTCACTTGCTAAAAAAATCAAGAATGTTCGTGAACACAACTTCGAAGGTGGCGCTAACAACAGCGAATTGGATAAGGATACTGACAGAAGCAACTTGAATAGTAAAATTAAATATATAAGCTTAGCTCTTCCGTTAAGTATCCTGTTTCTGTTATTGGTTTTTACTGGGTTTAACTTGTAAAGTACGATTTGGTGTTTCGTACATAATCACAATTATTATTGTACGAGCGATCGTGAATGTTTATTTACTCTTCGCGTGGAGTTGTATGTGGTTAGTAGAAGACATAATGAACACTGTGATCTACAAGAAAAAGTTGTCAATATGACAAATAAACATAATGTTAAACATAATAAACATAAACATAATGATGTTACAGAGTTGATAAAAGTATAACAATTCAGATCTCATCATGCAAATTATGCATGTTATAATTGTACTCATGTTTTGTGTGAATGCCATGGCTATAAAACGAAGCCCGAGTGAACGCTCCTCAAGCGTCTAGTTTTATTCTAAATTGCATTCGAAATCATGTTATCTTTACAAACAGGAAATTCTAATTTCATGACTCTTGATAGCCTGTTGTTTCGGGGAGTTTCCCTTACTGTTTAGTTTTCTCGTAAAACACTCGCTAAGGGTAAGTCGATCTAATCGATGCTTTGAATGGCGAGGTATGTTATGACAAAACTTCTATCGAAGAAAAGACAACGGAAAACACACAGGAATGGCGACAGAGGGTAATGATATTGTTACTCCTAGAATGTTCATGAAATTTATTTCAGTTAGGTAAAATATCATCCCTTTTATTAGTTCATGTAAAAGCCACACTGTCCACCACAATCCTTAAACAGTGATTGTTTTCAGGTTATCAGACCTCATACACTCACGTTATCAGGTTATCAGGCCTCCTACACTCACGAGAGAGGTCACGAAAACGCGTACTCGGTCACACTTTTTCAGTTTATCTTCACAGGTTTTGGCAAACTCGCCTAGAATATACTTGCAAATCAGAATCATTAGATCCAGCTTATTCCACTAGATTACTGCAAACCGACCTTTAGTTAATTTTTTCAAGGTTGATTTCGTTTCATTGATTCTCCCTCCTGTTGAGTTGAATAAGGTTGAAATACGTACTATTCAATGATGTCGGATACCGCGAATCAATGTAGTTTGCGGTGTATTTTATTGTCTTCTATTTGTGAAATTTAAGTGTTAATAGGCTCCCGCGCATTAAATAAGTCCAACGTCGCAGAAAATATTATACATGTATTCATTGTTGATAACTAGAGGCAGTCAATAGTATTCTGACTAAACAAGAATGGTTTGTCACGCATTCTCATCACTATTTGTATTCCCTAATTACTTGCCCATTAAATGTAGTGGCTACTCAATAAGTTTTCAATACACATGTCTTACCAATGCCTTTCGTAGTGATGTGTCTTGTAAATTTTGGCCAAACAAGATTGCTGATTTATTGTCCACAACTTACGTCTACTCAAGTTCGTTAGTACTATTGCTTCGGTGATTAACGAGATCCGTGCGCTCTGATTGTTGAGAATTGCGTCATATCTTTGCGAAATTTTGATTGCCGAAGCTAAGAAAGTATCATTCATCACCATATTGAAAACAAATACCTCACTAAAATTAACTTTCAACGCACTTTAAAACACGCCTACTACAAAACTTGTTTCGTCCACAGACCTCTTCAGTTGTATGCGCATAAAACTGAAGAGGTCTGTGGACGAAACTAGTTTTGTAGTAGGCGAGTTTTAAAGTGCGTTGAAAGTTAATTTTAGTGAGGTTTTTGTTTTCAATATGGTGCGTCATATCATTCTTGTTTTAATCAAGTTTGATGTAAAAGGGCTTTAAGTCCTCAGGCATGTTCTAACTTTGCAGACCTTTGCATAGACCAAGATTGATATAACAGGCCTTTGATGAAGTAACAGATCGGCCATCACGTTGCTTCCTCTACTGAGAACATTTAGTTCTATCACACATTCAATTTGATTCACCGGTCAGGTATCTGAAAGCTAATGCTAATCTAACTCACGCTGTTCTAATAGGAGGATACTTAATTCTTACATGTGGTGTTATTTCATTTACAGTCAAGGAAAAGCCGTCTCTTGATCTACAGAATCTATACATTGCCGTGGTGGCAATAGACTTTGGCACGTCATACAGTGGCTTCGCCTTTTCATTTAACAAAGGCCATGAGCAAGACGCGATTTTCATGAACAGGGACTGGACGAACGAACAAGGAGGCAGAACGAGCAAGGCTCCAACGTGCCTGCTCCTTAATCCAGATCTCAGTTTTAATTCGTTTGGCTACGATGCAATGGAAAACTATGCACAGCTACAAAATAAGCACGAGGAACAGAAGTATTTTTTCCTTCAGCATTTTAAAATGGCGCTCCACAGCGATGAGGTACAGTTGATGCTTAAAAATAACATGAAAGTCTGAATCGGAGCCTGATCCAAATCGTTTTAAAATGAAACGAAGTTCCTTTCCTTTTCGCACCTGAAAATAAACTCTTAGTACAGTTAATAAAGCTTTTAGTGATAACAAAACTACTCTACAATCTGATACTCCGACGTAAGAATATTCGGGGTCCCATTTTCATCGCTCTTCCAGGATATTGCGACAACAATTGGCTGACTCTCGCATGTTACAGGTGGTCTAAGTACTCTCATGTAAAAGATTTTCCCTACTAATTCCACTGTTCTATTGCTAGAAACTTAACAAGGAAACAACCATTAAGGCTCTAAATGGAAAAGAAGTTAAGGCCCAGACTGTATTTGCACTTTCAATCGAGTTTATGAAAGACGAAGCAATCAAACTTCTTGTCTTGGAAACTGGTGATAACCAATTTAAAGCAGACGATATTCAGTGGGTTCTGACTGTTCCTGCAATATGGACTCCAGCGGCTAAACAGTTCATGAGAGAAGCGGCTAATCAGGTGAGGTTGCATAGGCAGAAAATATATCTTGGTCACATTGATTCCTACTTATCAGTGCGTGGCATATTTTATTTTCACCGGCCTAAAACCAACCGTTGTCACTTCTTTGCTTCTCGTTCGAAAAAGAATAGACCTGCAATTTTAAAGAGCGACATTTTTCAAGACCGCTTGAGAGATACCGTATGGTAAACTTAGAAACGTGGTGAAATTTTTTTTCCCCAGACTTGCACCTTTATTTTAGAATATTCACGAAAACTGAAACGAGCGTTGAAAGCCGTAAAAGAGCGGAAATCAATTCCCGAGTAGAGGCAAATAAACTTTTCTCATGAGAGGCGCAAAAGAAAACAAGCTCGTTTCAATTTGATAAATTTGTATCAGAGGGAGTGAAGAATGGTGAAGTCTAAAATGCACCAACACCAACAGATAATAGCGACGAATTGCGTACGAAGGACATGAACTATTCATATTTCAATCTTGGTGTGCCTCAATGGGTGAATTCCATCGCAACATACTGCAGTACCTTAATTTCATGACATGATTAGCATGAGGAACATTACTCTGATTGGTGCAAGCATACTCCAATACTTTGATCTGATTGGTGCGAGATACTTACCCCAATGCGGCGATCTGATTGGTGCGCGCAACTCAGCACTCAATACGCTATCATAGAGTTATTTTTTATATATGCAAAAAAACTCAACTGCCAGGGTTGAACTTTGTGGAAATCGCAATATCGCTACTTTTATCACGACATAATCTGAATCTGGCACCGCGCTGTTAGCTCCCGAATTCCAACAAAATTTAGCAGTTAACATCTGTTTGATCAGGATTACAGTAAATTAGCCTTGCAAAGCTTATGACAGCGACTTTTCCCCCTGCTTTCTCTTTGAATTCTCATCCATTACCCAAGGTGAAATTGTTAATGATAACACGCTCCGAAGACTAGCGGCAAGGAGTTCTAGGATAAGACTGAGCTTCTAGGATAAGACTGAGGATAAGACTTGAGATAGGATAAGTCGATCGTTTTTACCGGTAGGTCAAGTTCTTTACCGAAAACGTGGAAGAAGGGGAAGCAATCTTATACTAATGTAGATATAACACAATCAAGCCCTTGCAACCTGAAGATCCGTTTATAACTAAACAACTTAACTGCTTAGGAGGGAAGGTAGTCTCCTTTAGCGAATTAAATGGAAAATTTACGAGCCACATGTACAGTATTTTCCACTTACTTTTTCCTGTAGGCTGGAGTTGGAAAAGAGACTAATCCTGGCCAGTTAATCATCGCCTTAGAGCCCGAAACTGCCGCACTTTTCTGCATGGAACGAAAGAACATAGAAAGAGAATATGACAGCGATTTTGAAGGTGCCGAGCTTTCGAAACCAAGAACACGATACATGGTCGTTGATATAGGAGGTAACAATGTTATCCAATCAATTTTCCAAAGATCACTTCAGCGTGCTTTAAGTACATTAATAACCAAAAAGGTTACTTCTCAAAGCTTCAGACTATGGTAGCTTGTACATTTTTTAAAGTAATAAAATGAGTAAAATAACCTCGACTGATGTGCTAGTATAAATATATCAAAAAAGGACGCTTTGATTCCGTTTAAATGAACATATTCCACTCGGAAATAATAGCTTCCATGTTACAGCCTCAGGGAGGTTTAAGAAAGATGTACGGAAAAATAGAATATAATCAGAGGTAAGTAATGCGACCTGATTTTGCGAAAGTTTCCGATATGTGGAGAGTAAGAAGAATTAAAATCGGTTGGATTATGGCACTTTCTTTAAATATTTGTAGGTGGGACATTAGATGTGGCCGTACATGAGGTTGTGGAGAAAGGCAGCATCAAAGAGATTGACAAGATAACGGGTGGCCCTTATGGCGGGATCAGAGTGAACCAAGAGTTCAAAAGGCTCTTGGGAGATTTGTTCGGAGAAGAAAAGCTAAATGCGTACAAAGAGGAGTTTCCATCCGATTGGCTGGCTTTAATGAACGACTTTGAAGGGAAAAAGCAAGGATTTCGTATGGAGAAAGGAAGAATGACAAATATCCGTTTGCCGGCAAGCTTTGCTTCTCTGGTTGAGCAAAATACAGTTAGGGAGCGTTACGATGAGAGAGATGTTAGGCTGAGGGGGAATGAATACCTTTGCTTAAGCCCAAACATCATGGAAGTTAAGTTGTTCGCACCTGTTCTATCTAACATCCGGGATCATTTAAAAAGACTGCAAGGGAGGACAAGGGCTTCAAACGTTAAAACCTTGCTCCTAGTCGGCGGATTTTCGGACTCTCCAATTCTTCAAAAAGAGATAAAGAAAGAGTTTTCCGAGGATTTCAGAATTTTGGTACCCCGAAATGCCGCCATAGCGGTAGTTCAAGGTGCTGTATTATTCGGCAAGAACCCAGCGAAGATAACTGAAAGGGTCATGAGTACAACCTATGGTGCCGATTGTTCCCGGGATTTTGACAAAAACATTCATCCTTCCTCTAAGTGGTTCTTAGCCGATGGTCGCTCGAAGTGTAAAGACTTATTTAACCGCTTTGTCAAGGAGGATGAGGTCGCACGGTCAGGTCACACCGTCAAAAAGATGTATAGTCCTCTTCATGCAGCCGACACACAGCTGACCTTTGGATTTTATGTTGCAAAAAATCCAGAATGTAAGTTTATCACCGATGAAGGGGTCACTAAAATTGGAAGTGTCACTGTCAGGTCTCCAGATACCTCAAAGGGGCGAAGCAGAAATATTGAAGTCAGCATGCACTTTGGAGGAACAGAAATCGTCGCCACAGCAATCGATGTTTCGAGTGGAAGCACGGCTCAAACCACTCTGGACTTTTTTCATGACTAACCGATATCAAAGAAATGTAATAGCACTTTAATATTTCTGTAAGAAGCTGGTGTCGGTTCGAAACTTTAAGACAAGAGACACGCAAAGCATCGTAGAACAATTGGTGTTATTTCGAATGAGAACTAACAGTAAGTTGAAACGAAGAGGAAACAAAAAGTAGTAATAGCAACTTGAGGAAAATTTAAAAAAGCAAAGTATGTATCAACAAACATATCTTAAAATTCGTAATAGAGAAGAAGCAATGATCTGCAATAGATCATTGTTAGATAAAGCCCTGACACGGAAGGAGCTGCCACCAGAAACCGCTATCACTGCTTTATGAAAACATAAAGGATAATGTGTGAAGAGGCTACTCCATTCCTCAGGACTTAGTTAAGATTAATTTAGTTTATACAAAATATTTATACCACGCCATAGCCATGATCTGTTTTCTTCTCTTCAAAGATGTTTTCGTGCTCAGCATAATGTTTAGCCGGGTGTTATATTAAGGACTTTCAACTCTGATTCAGCGTCAGTTTTTTTCCGGCTAACATGTACCCAGTTGAGAGGCTAGGCTGAGGTTATGGCTCCAGTTGTACTTTGAAGAAGCGACTACGCATCACAAAAGCGCAAATAACCTCTCATCTTAAGGATTGTTGGCACATAAAATATTTCTTCGCCACGAGGGAAATTAAAATAAACGATGTAGTTCATCAATCGCCGGCAATTCTTTTCATACGACCCTTTAATATACCTGGGACATTTCTGACGCTTCTTCGGCTTTTTGAGATATCAAAGTTTCTATCGAAGGCAACGTTCTATGCACTAGTGAGTACTTCTTTTTTCTAATTTTCCTAGACTTTGTCGTTTACGTAGTGACGACTCTGATCTTTCCCACAATCAATGTGCAAATGAACTGAAGATGAAAAGTATAATGAAGAGGACATTCGGTGGGTTATAACAGTGCCTCTTAATTAGAGACATGCTGCAAAGCAATTCATGAGAGAAGCTGCATGCATGTAATCCTACGATGAATAAGGAGGTGAAAATAAAAAATAAAAATAGGGAAAGGGAATTTAAAATACGCAGCGAGCAAGAATATAGGTCCGACTCTAAGGTGGCCAATTACTAAACATCAGTGCGTCATTACAAATGCAAGAACGTTTATTTTCTTTTTGGAAGTGTTCGCAAAAAAGAAGACTGAAATTAAGTTTAAGATTAACGGAACTTTTTGTCTTAGCAAGTGACTCTTTTTTTGCCTCTATTTCGGAAGGCGGAGATGATATCTAATTATGACCCCGACCAGCTGCTTATTACTTTGGAACCAGATGCAGCCTCAACATACTGCAGAGAAATAAAGATGAGAGAATTCACCATTGAGAAAGGAGATGCCAGTGTATCTGACATCTTTGCTCAACCTGGGTCAATACAATTTGGATTTTATCAACTGAGTTGATAGTGTAAATCAACCACTGCTAGCCATTCGAGCGTTGGCCCTTCGTCAGAACGAATGACGAAGGGCTAACGCTCGAGAAGTCAGCATTGAAACTCTTTACGGTGCCCAATTTACATCGTCAACTCAGTTAACAAAACCCAAATTACCTTGTTACTCCTACCGACGCAGCACTACAGTTTCTTTAGAAAATTTCACCCTTTATCTGGGTCAAAAAAACCTTGTTAATGATAGCGGAGGCAAGTTTGAATTTTGAAAAAAATGGATCGGTTTGACAATGTCAGACTACAAAATATCAAAACCTTTTCGTGTCTTTTTAATTTGGAAAGATAATGTCCTTTTTTTAGTAAAACGTAGTTCACATCGGTTTCACATTTACAAACTCCGCATAATGAAACCAGCGGTGAAGCGTTTTCATCTCGGTCTGTTTGTTTGAACAGTGGGACACCGAGGCTGGAGAGATGATGATTGGGTAGAGAACTTCAGGATGTCGAAGGATAATTTGGCGTAATACCCAGTGGGACACCAAGGCTGGAGAGATGATGATTGGGTAGAGAACTTCAGGATGTCGAAGGATAATTTGGCGTAATACGACACCCTCTAGTTGATAAGCTTGTCTATTCTCATAACCGGTTAGCAAGATATTAGAATGACAAGGAGAAGTTCCATGTTTATTACATCATTTTGAAATCACTTGTGGTCCTTATAATCTGATTGGCTCTAATTGGTGCGATTTATTCACAAATCGCACCATTTCTTGCTCTAAATCGCATCATTTTACGCTTCACTGAAGGATTCGTTTGAATATCTGTGCGCTGAACTATCACCCCATATCGCGAAAAGGAACACGAACGTTCGTAAAGCCATTGCAGTTCGCCATTGCGTTGCAATTACTTTGTATTGGCTTGCTGACTCCGCTCGCTATAGAACTATTGGAAACTTGTTTGGCGTTGGAAAATCCACCGTGTGTACCATCGTGAAACAGGTATGCGAAATACTTGCCGGCATTCTTCTTCCTCGGTATATTTTCTTTCCGCAAAATCAGCATGAAGTACAAGATCAGATCGATGGCTTTAGCGATCGTGCGGGGTTTCCCTAAGTAGTGGCCGCTCTTGACGGTTGCCATGTGCCTATCATTGCACCTCTCCAAAGTCTGGAAGATTAGGTGAATTAAAAAGGATTCCACCCACTGTAACACTGCAGGGATTGGTAGACAGCAACTATCGTATTGTTGACATTTTTGTTGGATGGCCGGCGACAGTTCACGACGCGCGGGTATTTAAAAATTATTTTTGTACTCAGGTTAGTTCATGTGATTTCTGGTACAGATACAGTTTATATATGGCATGTATATGTTATTTTTATTGTATTTTGAGGTGGACTCTTGATGAATTGCAACTCCTGCACATGAAATAAGGAACTATTGATTCTATTAATCTTATTTACTACATTTGTAAATTGAGGAATATTGGAATTCCCTGGGAGTGAGATTTAGAAAAATAATGTGGAATAACTACTGAAAATCACTGAAATTCCTAGTAGGTAAACAGAAACTGTAGGAAATTCTTCAGTAACAGACACATACATAACATTAAGTGTATTTCTTGGGGGGATCCCATGTATGACCAGTGCATTTTAACGAATTTATTTAAGGGATATGAAATGTACCAGTAACAGTGAAAAGTCACATGCCTCATTCCTCATGCAGCCGAGGAGATACACTACAAATGTGCACACACTCGATACTTAAAATATCCGTCCAACATTAAAAGGAGGCTTAGGAAACCCAAGCTTGATATTTGAATAGTATTGAAAAAGGCGTTTAAAAATATGAGCCAAATCATTTGAGCAATGAATCACAGCGAATTAATTAACGATAAAATTCAGATACCGTCAAATTAAACAGGAAAAATGATTTCAAGGAATGAACGTTTTAAAATCGCTCATAAGCTGGTCTAATTTTTTTTAACGGCTCGCACAAAATGACAGTACCGAACTGGAAACTGACGCCGGTAATTACTAGGTTCTACTTGTGCAGAACCTACGCCAGTTTCAGGAGAAATTCTTGATCCTCCTTCCTTCGCTTCTCCGCTCTTTCTTCCTCTCGCCTCTCTCTTTCCGCTTCAGCTTCGATGAAGCTCTTGTCAGCCGCTTGCTGATACTCCATAAAGGACTCAAACATTTTGTCAAATTTTGTAAAGACATCAGAAGCGGTTTCCCTCTTTTTATTTGCCTTTAAGACGGTCGACTGACGGGATACCGGCTTCTTTGTTTCATCGGCTTCCGTTACACCTGAAGGAACAAGTTACATGGCGACCGCCAAAACTTCAAACGGTTGCTTAAACATGAAAGCCAAGAGAGACATAAAAGGTGATAAATTGACTTTTGGTTTGGTTATCTCAATATTACACTGTAATATACGGATACACCTGTCTCTTATCTCCTTGTACGCATTCAAAAATTCTCAAATACGGTATTCAAACATACTGATTGAATTTTATATTATTGCTTTTTTTTGAGATGTTAGATTTTAGAGTTTATATTGTAGATTAACAATTGTTGTTAACTAAACTGTTGTCCCCAATATTAGCTTGTTCCTGTGCTGCTAAATATATTTGACACTGAAAAAAGTTCTTGCTTGTGGGTTGTGACGTTACTTTTACAGACGACGATAGAGGTTGCTTTGAACACCACTGTATTCTCTCGCTCTCCAATCGGAAAGCAATTTATAACTCTTACCTGTCACCGCTGTCACACAGTTGAAAGGTTTCTCAAGGTTTTCGGACTTTTCGTTGCTGCTGCCAGGGATGTTTACGTTCGGCTCAACGTTTTCTGCTTTTGTTTTTTCTCCATCATCGTCGCCATCAATGGAAATTGTTGCGGACTTTATAATCACCTTTGGTTTTGTACATGGCTTGTCCGACATTAGCTCGTTCACTTCGTCGAAGAAAGCCGGCTTCTTCTTTGGTGTGGCATTTCTCGTCTTGGCGCATTCGTCTTTCTAACTTCTGTACGCGCTTATCAGAGTGTGAATTCGTGTCTTGCAGCTGCTATCGTCTCTGTCTTCATAGCCTGCAGCTCGAAGATATGCCGCAATTTCTAGCCATATAGGCTTTTTTCGTGTGCATGATTTTAGCTTAAGCTGGATATTCTCGTCTCCCCACTTTTCAAGCAATAGGAGGGTTTCTTTATGCTTCCAAACTCTTCCGCGCGTTTTGGTTTCTGTCGCCATTTTGAATGGGTTTTATTATACACGATTGTTAAACTACCTGACGTGGTAGTTTTGTTAAACATGGTTTAAGACGCGTTTTCTTAAACGCGCCCGCAGTGTGAACGGCTAGTCCTCTTAAATCTGTTTATCAAAACAAGTTTTAAACATGTTTAAGCTTTGGTGTGAACGGAGAATAAGATGCAGTCATTCCAATACATACATCCTACAGTTCTGAGCGGAATCTAGAAGAATCTAGCCAATTTTGCTACTTTTTAAAGCAGACTCCTGTCGTGTCAGAGGAGTCTTATCTGATGTTCCAACGGAAAAAAATAAATAAAAAATACTTCCATAGACATTTAAAAAAATTTTTTTGGATGAGGGACAGAGTTGCCGTTTGAACTCATTATCAATGGTAATATCCAGCATCATTTTATTTAATCTAACAGCAATCACAATATCAGACAGCTCAAAACGAGGAATGGTAACAGATTTCTGGGGCATCATTTTCCGAACAAAAATGCACAATGAACATCTCCATCTTCATTGGCGGGTCGTCGGTATGAAACAGCGCCATATCCTTCATGCGACGCAACTGCAAAATTGTGAAGTTGGCTAAACACGATACGGCCAAAGTTTTTGAGCTTTAAGCAGCATTCAACAGCACACTGTTCTAGTTTAGTAACCAATATTGCCATCGAGTCAAATCTTCTTGAGGAATTCTGTCCCCCAATCCAACCCTTTACGGCACCAATCACGCAACATTGCCTTTGCAGGTAGGATCAACGGAGCGAGAAAGCCCGACGGATCAAAAATTAAACCTATGATAGAGAGAATACCCCTTCTTGTTGGACGTCGGTCCTTCATAACAATCTTGAAATGAATGAACATCCCATTGAATCCCGAGTGCATGTTCGACGGGCAGATTTTTTATATCAGGATCTTTTACGGATCCGGCTCTCTCAGCTACTGGAAGTGACTGAATGACATTACGAGAGTTCGAAATCCACTTAGTCAGGCAAAAGCCCCCTTTGGCTAACAGCTGGCTTAGCTGTTCCATTAGTTGACTTGCCTCTTGAACATTCTCCACAGACTTTAAACAGTCATCTACGTAGAAGTTTCTCTTGATGGTCGGAAAAGTTTCTTGGTCGAAATGTTTTTCGTTGTCACTAGCTGTTCTTTTTAAAGCATAGCAAGCGCAACTAGGCGACGAGATGCCTCCCAAAAGGTAGACGAGCATCTGAAATTCTTCAGGCGAATTCTCCAAATTACCACTTTGTATCATAGGAAGCGCAGAAACATGCCATCCTATCGCATAGAATGCCGCGACACATCTGGGTACTTTTAAAGTCTATCGGCGGTAAATTTAAACGGTCCTCCAAGAAAAAGAGAACGAAACAATAGAGAAAATGGCTCTAAATCCCCCACTTGCGCTTACGTTTTTCAATTTTAATAAAAACCTAGCTGCCTTAGCTATTTGCCAGCATATGGATTTTGTAGAAGTTTCAAAGAACAAATTTATAAAGCTTGTTTCCTGCGGTTTATACTCACCATTATTGAAACTGCTTTGAAAAATGAGAATTTTAGATATTATTCAGTATGGAAGCTGATCTTCGGGTTTCAAAATCCGATGAGCTATTTGCGAAACTTCAGAATCAGCGTATGGAAAAGTTACTCCTATGTCTCAGGAGGGCTTCTGAAGATTTTCTCTACTGTACGAGGCCTAGAAGTACTATCAAAAGTGATTTTTTTCGAAGCGACCTATGGCCACCCTAAATTTTACGTCGAGAAGCACGGTTGACTGATTTTTGAAACTCCCGCGAGTTTACTAATATATATAAACAATAGCGCGCAAGCCACTGCAATTACCGGTAAGCATTGAAATTGATCATGACAACTGCACTAACAATACCGCCTCCGCAAGCTTTAGAATTGAGAGAATTCGGAAACGTAACAACTAACAACGCTTATCAGTTTCTCAACGAAATCTAGAATGATCTATCCAATTTTGCTACCTTTTAAAGCAGACTCCTTCTACCAAAGATGAAGCTAAGGCGGGATATCATATGATCGTTTACATTTCCACCGCACATTTCATGTGTTCGTCATTTCAGAAGAGCCTCGTTTCATATTTCAACAAAAAAAAAAAAATTAAAATAGAAAACAATTTCATAAACATTTTAAAACAATTTTCTTAAAGGGAAAGAGTTGCTGTTTTCCGTCCCTTGATATACCTTATTTCAATTCAGCTTCTATTTCGCTTGGGCTTCCACTTTACAAAGGACTTCTCCTGCTTGAATGATTCTTCCTCCTCCATCTAATAGGGCAGGCCACAAGTAACAAGCAATTTCATCCACAACCGACGCTTGTCCATTTGAAGGAGGCCTTAAACACATTTCTGGATCATTGTGGTATCCAACTTTCTTGTGGAAATTTTTCAAAGTGGTACTTTTATACTCCAGTTGCATGGGTGGAACCTGGATGATCATACGCCAAGTTATACGGATGCAAGCCTGAATGTAGTCCTTGAGTTGCAACAGCATACGAGTGGAGAAGGAGAATTTACACGATTTTTCGTTGGCGAGCCATGATACCCACTTAGCCGTGATTTTTTTCCGAACGCCCTGGAAAAAACGCGATACAATACCAAATACATGCATATGTAAAACCAGGTTTACTCTGGCCTCTTAGAAGAATTACGTCAACTGCTTTTGATCATGAATACATATTCTTCAAAGTTAAAAATATAAGATAGAATCATGGTTTGATCTTTTTTGCGTGTAATAGAAAAGCTAAACATGGGAAATGCACTTGGCCTACTCTGCAACCTGGATACATTGTTACGTGGGCGCCTTTAGATGATTCCTCAGCTTTGCACTGCACCTCAAGCACCTCGCATTAAATTCACGTTATCAGGAATAAGCGCGCGCGAATTCCGAGAACATGAAATTGTTTTTTCAATCAATAAACAGGTACGATGGTCTTTTGCCATCAACGAGCAGGGTAGTCTATATCTTTTATTGCATAATTTTAATGTTCAAACAGGATATGGCCAAAAGCATACACAACGCTCTTTTCTCGAGGATGCAAGTTATGACCCTGAAAGCAATGATTCGACGGGTCGTATCAAGAGGACCTCAGGACAATTATTAAATCAGCTCGCATCAACAATTAGGGTAGTCCCTTTGCATTCCAGTGTTCTCAAGTGTTTATGCGAAAAACGTTGTTTAGTCGGGTTAATCCCTTGCCTACTGACCCTTGTCGAGAGTCCAGTTGACGGCTGGGATTTTTAAACATTTGGTCCTCAATGTAATAGCGCTTTGTCCTTAATGTGATAAACCTCCAATGCATTCATCTTCGCACGTGCATTATCGTTAAAGCAGAGATCCACATTGAGATGTTGAAATGACAGCTGTCTCACCAAAGAATCCTCTGACCAGTATTCATGATATATTGCGGGCTAGCATTGGCTGCAAACCTTTCTGTGTGATTGTCATTGAATTGACAAATGTCAAAACAATGAATACGATGACTAATACTCTCTTTTAATCACGGACTCAGATTACAATAGTGCAATAGATTTTATACAAACGTAAGAAGTGTGATCAGTGATGAAATTAACTGGTCATTAGCTAAATTTGAAACTTGTACATCGCACAGATTAAGAGCATGGACATACAGTCTTTGTCTTTCATAGCTGAGATAGACCTTATTAAGATCTCGTTAGCTACGGATCTCATAACGATACTCTAGTGAGTTATTTCTTTCATATTCTCGAATATCGGCTTTATCGAGGGTATATAAATGTGGACAAAATGATAATTCTCTCCGCCTCAACTATGTTCTCTTGATCTTGAAATTCATCTGACCAATACGACGAACGAACAGGGTATTGAGTAGATCTGAACCAATTTTTTATACTCAGTGAGTTACATTTCACAGGTTTAAATACAAAGAAGCTCCTAACTATCACATCATCACAAATCACCGGCTCACATTGCTAATAACAAAACAGAAGTTTAAATTCTGGAGCACGTCATCAACAACTGAACTAAATGACAAACACGATAATCGCATGATCAGTCTCGTCATCAACCAACAATCGCATGCCTTATGCATTAGAAAATGTAGGAGACTGACGAAAGGAATTAAACGAGGGCCAAGTAAAAGTCTTAACAATCAGTAAGTTGCTAAGATCATGGATCCATTACTTAATTTAGGAAATTGCCATCCTCCTCTTTTATTCTCGTTCGCCGGTCCCCACTGTGTTGGCAAGTTGAGAATTCAAAACTAAAAGTAAAGTAATCCCACTGACGGCAGGGAGAAGAGATCAAGACAAAAATAAAATAAAAGCATAAGAGTATTTGCGACTGAAATATATTTTACTTTAAAAAAAAAACCACCTTAGGGGCGAAAAAAAAGATGAATGGTTTATTAGACTACTAACTGACTATGATACGCGCATTGCACATCATTATGATGGTTTGCAATGCTTTTTTAGCTTTTTAACTTAAACGACTCTGGAAGTAAAGAAGCTGCTTGATATCAGTGCAAGCCCGCAATATGTCATGAATGCTGGTCAGAGGATTCTTTGGTGCGACAGTTGTCATTTTAACATTTCAATGTGGATGTCAGAGATGAACGATTGCATTGAAGGTTTGTTACACAAAGGACAAAGAGCTATTACATTTTGGACATTATTATATGTTGGACCAAATTGTATTACATTTAGGACTTTATTACACTTAGGCCCTCTACAAAATCTGTGTTTTTCAGTCTATTTCGACGCCTCGCGAAAAATTTCAGCTCTCTCCAATGGGCCAGCTCTCTCCAATTCAAAAGCCAGTATGAGGTAATTTCAGGTATTTCAGACGGATTGAACCCTCGTTACAAGCAGAATGAATTTTGTTCGACGACCGTACCGAAAGTTAAAGACCAAGTAAACGAAGTTAGTAGTATATATTTTATTGTAAATCAAACGTAATTCAGCCTGTGGCTGCAAGGTTTTTGATAATAAACTATCTATCTATCTATCTTAGTAAAATATTTATTATATCTCTAAGTTCAGATAAGGAGAATTTTACTATGTTAGTAACATACCTCCTCCAAGGGCTCAAGGCTGCAAAGGTGCCCAGTTTCTTTCAAGGAAAGCACGAGAGCATCTAGAACCTCAGCCGGATATTCAAATTCCTGGCGGCATGTCGGGATCTTGAAATTGAGTCTATATGGCGATTGCTTATTGTTGACCATTGATGACAGGAGAGTGAAATAGATAGAAAGTAAACCAAAAAATGTGAGGCCAATTTTATCATTAGGTATTATTTTTATAAGTTGGTTATATTTCTTTATAGCCCACCTATTAGTATTTTGCGCGATTTAGTTGGCTACTATACATTAGGTGGTGTGACTCTTTTGGCTACTTCCCGTCACTTGGTACAAAGTCACCGGACAGCTCTCACGCAATAACCCCGACTACGTCGATATTTGTCCTTCCGATTATTTTCGTCGGTCGAAAGAAACAAACCCAACGGAAAAAGCCAGCTCAAAAGTTTCATTTTTTCATCTTTTTTACCTTACATAAAAGAGAAACAAACTCGGTTTTTAGAGTTCGGTGATAGCTATAGTGACCTTAAAAAGCTGAACTCAAATGCAGCTCAGGTAAATCTGGAAAGTACCAAAAAACCAACAAAATTAGCTGTCAACACGCGATATGAAAAGTAATGGCAGGTTACAAGTATAAGTAACAACGTGATTTCGAGCGCAATTTGATGCTAATAAGGAGTAAATTTTTCAAAGACAAAAAAATAGCTCGAGCCCATAAGGTGAGTTCGGATTTTAGCCTGGCACAAATTTACATATGCTTATTGTGCCAAATTGCACAATAAAGGATGTAATTACTTATTAAATACGAAGGCGCGCTATATAAGGAAGTCTTCTCTGGGAAGACCAAGGCTCATTTGTCACTCACCGTTGATGTGTGCGGGTCAAATTTAAATGCTGGTAGACGAACAAAAGGAGCTAATGAGATATCTATTGTTTACTTCCACCAGCATGGTGGCATGAGGTAACGTGCGAATCACCAACTTCGATCTCAAATTTACCGCCACAAATAAAGACAGTTTCCATTGGAGAAAGGAAATACAAATCTCAAAAATTCTTGTATTGTGATGAAGACATAAAACAATTTTGAGGAATGCGCCCGCTGTTCACTGCTTTGGAGTAGCTGTAGCTCAAGCTGACTTGACTCTAAGAGTTCTACATCACACGACGGTTGATTGACAAATGGTCCAGTGGGACCTAAGGCTCCTTTTATAGCGCGCCTTCGTGTTTAAAAAAA